CGAGGTGCAGACTGTTCCCAGAGCACAAGCGATGGAATTCCGCCTTAGGTGCGCCAAGTTTAGCAGTCCCGGTAGTCTCAGTAACCACTCGCGAGGAAGCTCAATGCAATTTAATGGCCCCACTCCTCTTCTCTTTCACTAACTCCCTCTTCTTCCTCCGGAAATGCTGTATCAGTCTGACTTTTCAGGTGCTTAATCCCTGCAAGTATAAAAGTGATATTTAAAGTTGTATTAGCTCACTTTTTTTTTTCCTGAAAGAAATAAGAAAAAAACCAAACCAATGGAAAGGTTTTTTTTTAAATGCCTATACTGACTCCCTGTTTCACAATCCCTTTAATTCAAACAGTGCTGGGATGTGCTCCCAACAGAAATATTCTCTCCCTTGAATATAAGCTCTTCAGAAATCTATCAGCGCTTGTGGAAAAAACTGCTAAAGGATGCCCCGCAGAATAGAATAGTATTTGCTTCTCTTTTTCCTTCACCTCCCTTGATCAGATTGATATTGCCAGTCTCAAATAATTTAAGTCTTAGAGGCTCAGCTAAAAAGCACAGGAATTATTCTACCAGAATATAAACTTCAGCATTTCTGAATTTTTTTTCAGCATTTGTCAGCATTTCTTCAGCATTTTCTGAAATTTCTGAAATCTTCTGAAGGTCATTGCTCACGTCGACCAAATACCCCATGTTCACAGCTTCTCATGTGTGATAAAGGACTCTTCCAGTGTGCTTACTGCTAACCTACGGATGATGTTTATAATTGTTCTGATACAAAAAAAGCACAGAACATGACAAATAAGCACATGACAAATAAGGGGAACCGTTGGGGCCAAAGCAGTGACAAAATTGGATTATATGGTCTCCTCACGGAGAAAATGTATTGTGGAGCAAGAGGAATGTTAGAATGTATTTGACCTCCAAACACCACACAGGGCTGGATGAAAAGAGTAAGTACTTATTGCAGGACACTTGGAGGTTTTGTTTTGAAGGTCTTGATGTCCCTGGCTGCCTGGTTGTTTGAGTAGGCAAGTGAAGCAGGCACTGTGAAAATTAATCAAACTGTAAAGTTATTTTCCCCTGTCTCAAATTCAGTACAAGCAAACAGGCTTCAACAAATGGGCCCAATCTCATCTTCTCAGCTGCACCTTGGTGTGTTAGAAGAATTCAAGGTAAAAAAGGAGGCAAAGTCAGGCTAAAAAAAAGATAGAGACAGAGACCAAAGAACAAGGATTATTATTTTCAGAAATTCTCAAACAGCAAGTGCACAACACTAGTTAGTTTCTGGGTCCTCTAATCTTTGGCTAAAGCAGTCATAGTGGGAACGTAAGCGCTAGTCAAAGATGCACGATTTCATGAAAATGTAAGCCTGAATTAAATTTTATGCTGTCATTACAGTCATAACAGGGAGGCATTTTTTGTTTTATTGCAGATCATTCATACTTGTACTCACCACTTGCAGCTGTCAGAAAAAAAGGCTTCCTTTATGTGGCAGTTCACCTGTGTGCTGAGGAGTAATTGCATCACACCCACTTTACATAACCACAGCTGGATAATCAAAAATCCTGCTGTTTGTAAAGGCATAATTTTCAAAAAAGAGTTCATCTTTAGGACACATAGGGGAAGATGCAGATTACTCTTAAGTTGTGCGTTGGAGGAACTGCTGGTATATGTCCAAGAATCTCGACCCCAGAACTGCCTGGCCTGGAGGAGCCTACCCTTCACTCGTTATGTTCACACCACTATGAAATTTGGGATACTTTTTTTCTAGATATGTTACCTGAAAAATTTCAACATAAGTGACTCCAGTTCAGCAAAGTTACAAATAACTGAAAACAGGATCTTGTAGTGGATCTCAGAACGGGAGCGCGCTCTGCCCCACTTCCCGCATTGGCCAGTCAGTGCTCCCAGCTACTTCTCTTTCCATCTAGTCACGTGAATGACAGTACTTGGTTCCCCGGGAAACAATTGTTCAGATGTGAAACAAGCAAATAAATTAATGCTCCCAACCCACAGTACTTGTAAGTGTGCCCTGCAATAATCAAACCATTTCAGCTCCTTTTTGCTTTATGCAGAGTATTAAAAAATCTCCTATTTCCAATTAAGTAACTACGATAAGTAAAGAAACACTTTGGGTGCTCAGCTACCACCCAGGGGGCCTATTTAGCAGCGCTCATTAGTAAGGCAAACACTTTTAATATGATTTCACCTAACTGTAGGTTAAAGGGCGTTCATTTCAAAACGAAATTACGCTTGTGCTGCAAGTTCATCTCCTGTTGTTTATCTCTGATACTACAGAGTCATTTATTGCACATTTACAATACTTATCTAACATATATTACTTAGTAGCTCAGACAGGAATTGTTAGGAGCCAGAATACATCATTTTCCAAGGAGTTTTTGGAACATGAGACAGGAACAATTAGTGACAGAAATGAGGGCACAGTATCTACAATCAGTATGATGAAGCTTCATGAAATGATGTTTTTGGCAGGAATGAGGGCTCTTGGTTATATGGCTTAATTGCAATATTTTAATGTGAAAATTTCAATAAATTGAGAGCAATGACACAGAGGAGTATTACCCATTGATTCTTACATAGCAGGCAACTATCAATCTTATTTAATGATTTTTCATAAACTCCGTTTTACAGCCTACCTTCACCTCAGCTGGTCATTTAATACTTCAGTGTCGTTTAGAAGGAAAGATTCATAGGGTTTCCTACACTGACCAGTAGATGCACAAGACTCATAATGTCATTATTTATAAGCCTCAAAATGTTACACTTCAGTTTGCCAGAATTAACTAACCCTATACGAGTTATAAGTATTTCAACTAGACAACAAAGGACACAACTAGAGTTGATAACAAAAGACAACTCTATTGTCTAGACTCGACAATAAAATAAGTCAGCACGAATTGACCGACGGATAATGAAATTCCTGTCAATAAGAGATAAATGTGCATGAGAGAAAAGAAAGGTGGCTTTTCTGAAGTTGTGTTCTGTGCACAGAGCCAGACTTTTACAGTGTCTGGGGCAATAAAAATATTTAGTAAAGTCATAGCAATCATACTCTTAGATTAAAAAAGCATATCTAGTCACATAGTACTGCAGCAAACCACAGTAGCTGCCACGGATGGTCACCATGTCTTAAAACTAAGCATACCTAGCAGTATATTGGCACATTTATCCACAGTTCCTGGTAAGCTGAAGAGGCCTTTACAGTGGCTCTCAAGTGTCACTCCAGGAGGGTTGTTTAAGCTGCGTGACCTGTCCTTTGCCAACATGAAGGAAATGATAAGCAAGTAATAAGGTAGAGCTCTATTTACAGGGAGACATTTTTTTCTAAGCAAGCTGTAGCAGGTGCTGAGGAGTTGGATCTATTCACACCCAGTATCTTCATTTAGGGATATCTAAACTCTTTACTAAAAGGTGATATTCTGGCTAGAGATTGCTTGAGGACTTTATCACTCACGTTACCGTAGCCGTTTTTACTACGGCTGCCATGGAGGTGCTTTAATTAAGTAGAAAGGGAAATATATTTATTTTTTATCTTTTCAGGCTTCAGGCACATTATACTGGTACACTGGTAACACTGCTGATGCCCTCTACTTTCTTAAATAGCAATCGGGAGGCATCACACCGCTATCTGGGGTCTGCCACTGTTCATCAATACAGCAGTATATTAAATCTGAGCAACAAATACAGGCTCTGAGATTTTACTCGTTAAAAAAAAAAAAAACAGAATTATATAATTTTGGAGGGGGATATTTAATGTGAAAGACACTGTTTGTACATACAGCAGACCTAAGTTCAAAACATGAAGTTACTGATGCTGTGCAAACTACACAAGCTTTATAATATTAATAATTGCAGATGGAGAGAACTACAAACGCTGATCCACAAATGAGTCACCCTGGCTCATGAGTGTCCCTCTTTTCAGGCAGCAAGTCGTGCCGTGAGTTCTTCAGCACCCTCGCCCTGCCGAGGAAATCTGCTGCTGTTCTCCTGCAGCTATTTTGTGCCCTGCTCGGCTGCGCTCCCAGCTCCGGCTGCTCTACCCCTCGCCGGGGAGGTCCACCAGCAGCAAGCCCTGGTCCCAAGCCTCGTGCTCCCGGCCTTCGGCACCTCAACCTCCTCACCGCACCCTGCCCACCGTCTCATACCCACAGGCTCAAACACGCTCTTTATTCCACTTTAAAACTAAGGCTGTCTGAACACTATCTTTTGGTTTCTTTCTCTCTTTTGGCTTCCTTTTTATGCTTTTCTTTTTTTTTTTTCTTAAAGCCAAAAGGGCAAGAGCTGTTTTTCTCAAAGGGCTTATATTTCACTGCATGTAATTTAATCCAATTAATGCTGATGAAGAAACCCTTAATGCCAAACCGCATGCAGCAGCAGTGCACTAACACACTTTGAACTGGTAATACTTTTTAGATGAAGTCACTGCCTCGGAGCATATTTCTAGATTACTTAAAATTATGAGTTCAAATGGGACAACTTTCTGGCATTTTTGCAGTTACATAATAAAAATCTGCGCTGTTTAATCAATAGCTTTTCTTTTTTTCCCTCTACCCATCTGACCAAAGCACCAGATTAGAAGGCTAAGCAGTGTCACAAGACATGAAATAACCAAATGTTCCTGAATTAAATCTCCCCTGAAATAAAAAAATTCAGTGATGGATGGATTAAAGTAATTAAGTCAGTTCCTCATCTTATTTAACATGTCTTCCTTCACCCTGCTTCATTGCCCAAGGAGTGGTGTTGACATTTACCAAACTCTGGTAGGGAGTCCAGTTGGTAACTTGAATTCCCCCAAGTCTGAAGGGCTATTTAGTCTTATGATTTGGAACTGAGCCTCTCTCTATCAAAAATATATTTCCAGCTTTTTAAAAAAGAGTAGAAGGCCAAGCTGAGGCACATACAAAGTAGCCTGATTTTCAGAGTTTCAGAACTCAAATTACTTCGAAATTAACAACCAAAAAGAGCTGTAGAAATGGGATAATAGCCAAATAAAAATATTTACTCTATACCAATTCTAAATGAAAAATATTCTGATTCCCTCCCCACAAAAAAGAGAAAATCAAAACAAAAATCATGTATTCAGGTGATTAAACTAGAAGAAGAAATGTTCTTTTATGAAACACTTTTTATTTCAAATTTATCAGTCAAAAGTGTTCTGACTTCTCTGAAACTCCATCTTCTTTT